TAGCTATCAAACAAACAAATTTTTTCTGTTGGCATAAAAAAGCAAATGGGTCAGTGTCACTGTAAAAGAGGGCAATGAAAAGAAAGTTCATTCAGCACTGTTACAACCGGGGAGATGTGAGAGTGTTGTGTCTTCTGCTTTAAAGGTGAAATTGGAAAAGCAGTCATGCAGCACATATTCAGTTCCCTCAGAGGAATATGTGTGAGGCCTTCACTGCAAAATATGTCAAGCTACTTAAAAGCGTGTGTCTTTTTGATGGTATATCTGTTGTTTATCGGTCCACCTACCTTGGCTCACCCTCCCCTTCCCACCCATGTGGCTTTTCTGGCCCTGGTCTGGCCCACTGGGAGGTTAAGGAGCATCGTCAGTTTGTGTGGGCACTATGCTCATCTTTTCCCACAGCTCTGACCCCATCTCCTCAGAATCACTGAGGAACAGTTCAGACCATCAGACCCTATTCACCACTAAACGTCCCACTGGTGGTCACTCCTTTCCTTTTGTCTAATGGTCAAATGGAGTCGGACGACTGGCTGCCACTGACCAGGGTGAGACTTTTGTGAAGAATGTTCAGAATGTGATTTGACCCCCAGACTAATGGTGATTAACATCAAATACTGGGAACCACTGGGAGTTCTCCTCCATCCATAATATTTCGGTCATTGAAGCCTTTCGACAAAACGCAAAATGACATGAGTTTGAGACACATTTTACATTAATCTATATTAGGGTGGCTCAGCATGTTTATATTAACAGAATGATGCATTTTAGCAAGTAAGTGTTCAATTTAATTATTGCATTTGAAAGAGTTTGTTCTTGAAATGCACAATGAAAAAAGACAACTAAGAAAACTCTCTTCCACTCTTTTCTGCAGAACTCTAAAGGTATTGTATTATTGCATTGTGTGTAGGTGTGCTATCTTATACATATGACAAGATGTTTGAATTCATCAACTATCTCAACATTTTGTCCATTTATTATTTTCAGCAACATAAATTATTCCAAAAAGATGCTTTGTATTAGCAGCTGCATTGCATTGATGTCAAATCAGCATATTAATATACATGTAAACAGCAGTGGTAAAGATATTTCTTTGAGAAATCTGGACCAATAACCTCTTCTTGAGGAGTCTGTGACCTGTTTGACTATGCCTCCTGTTCCATTAACACCTGTAACACTTTGGAACAGAATGTGACTGAACTTGAGGCCAATGTAAAAATCCATTTATGTCAGAGAGAATTGTCTCAATTTGGTGACCCTTCAATTTTTTCTACTGACTTTCCATATAACACCCACATACACACTGGTTGTTTGTGTGTTCTGGGTCAGCCCCATGTTCCATCTACTGAAGGTGCCAATTCTTCTGTCTACATGAAGGAGCTTCCCCTCTGCCCCTGCATAAAGCCAGGCTTCTGGCCTTCTGGGTCATAAGATTCTCAATGACTGTCATGTGGTCATTAGTTGTGAAAACGATTATATCTCAACAGTAACAAATTTTGTGAATTTCAGAATAGTATATATGCTATATGGCTTGTCTTTTTTCCTGTTGGTATTGTGTGGACCCTTATGTTTTTATTGTCCTCATAATTTTTTTGTCTGTCCCAACATATAGATGTCTTCATGAACAGTGACTGAGGCAGGCACAAACTTTACACCATGGGTCATTTACGAGCAGTATTTCTGGAAGTCATTTGATCTACTACTTGAAAAACATAAATAAATGTCACTGGACTTATTTTTTTAAAAGGGCAGAAAGATCAGCTTGTTCATTGTCCATGTGGGAATTCTCAAGGCACATCTTTTAGATATATTTTCAGAATGACTGCCAACATGGAAAGGACATCATCACCATAGACTCCTAAGCGCAGTAGAATTGGTCCAAGGATTACAAGAATGTCCCTAGTGCAGTCAGTCTCAGATTGACTGTACCCCAGAGGACTGTTCTCTGGCTCTGGTCACTTGGCTTTGAACACAAATGTTCTGACTCAGGCACTTTGAACCTGCGCCGGGCTGAGCTGGAGGGAGGCCCACAGTCCCACCTGAGCTCCACAGCACAGTAAATCTGCTGCTCTACGTGGGACATCTCCCAATGTTCTGACACACGGACACCTGGCTCTGCTCCAGCCCAGTGTCAGCACTTGTATTTGTCCAGTTAGATCTTTTCCTCACTAAATGGCTTGACTGAAAGCCCATATTTTCTCTCTCTATGATGCCTCTTACTTAGCTGGACTGGACTGTACAGTAGTTTAAATTACACATTAATCATTAATTCATATAGAAAATCCATATTATGGTAATTGATGTTGTCTATTGATTCCACTTTTCTTAAATCATGATGCTACTGATGACCATTTTCAGTGATACTCCCCAGAGGGGGAGACAATCCTGTGTAGGTGTTCAACAGATATTTAGCTATGCCAAGAAATTGTTACAGTGAACACTACTATAGATTGGTAGAAAATAAATAAATGACAGAAAAAGGGCCACACATTTACACTGAGTAGGTCTTCTGTATGCCACAGTATAACAACTTCATACAGATGTCTGCAGAAGTGTATCCAACTGACCTCCATCTGGCAATGCTGTTAGCCTCTTCTAGAGTGAAAAGACTTAAATGTCCCTAATACGTGTACATACCTCTGGACAAATCAACCACTCCACTACTGTTTTATCTACAGTGTTGTGGCCATTCCTGATACCTTAGTGCATTTTACTGGAGTTCTGCGCTCTTCCCTTGGGGAAGGCAGTTAATCTAATTACACAGTGAAAGAGAAGGTCTCTGAAAGTAAATAAAACAGAATTAAGCAATGGCCAAGGATTAGCACCGCTCATTTACAAAAGAACAGGATTTTTCTTCAATATTTCATAACTAGCATGTGTCCTAATATTAGGTAAATCTCTGGAACTCCATCCCACTCTCTACCCATATTCAAATCCAAACTTAAAATCCACCTGCATTTTCTCTCTCATTTCAAAATTCATTGAGGCAATCCATTTGTAGTTCCTTTAAAAAGAAAATAAATGTAAGACAGTTTTAAGGCATAGGCTTCATATCCTTTAAAAACATACTATAATACATGCAATACGTTTGACATTTTCCCTTTTGAAATATAAGTTTGTGCAAGATGTTTACATTTACTGCTGAATAAATATAAAAATTGTTGTCCAGGGCCATGTCACATGCGTAGCAAAAATGGGCAGATTTCCCTCACTCCACACAGTTACTGACGTTTTAAGGAAACTCAAGAGTTAAACATCTCCGTCGGGCCTATGTCTAAACAAGTCCAGTTTGGGGGTGTTGTCACTTGCAAAAAGAGTGGGCCAGCCCCAAAAAGTGACCTTGTCACGCCTCAGCCATAAGACCCAAACAAGCTGCTACTCTTAGTTATTGTGATAACCAGCATGACTTGTCTTCTTAATTTTTATTGTATTTATTTGACCTTTTTATTTAATCAGAAGGTTAATGTTGTCTCTTGTACATGTGTCTAGCAGGCCAATGCTGACTTATAGTTGGACTCATTTTCATGGTCTTCATGTAGTTTATCGCCTGTAGTCAAGTGACTTAGGTCAAGTTGGATGCCTTTGTCCTTTCTGTCACTGTCTTGGACGAGGACAGACTGTCATAATCTTAGTATCTTAGTCTCTAACTATTGTTCTGTTGAGTGCAGATGGTTCAAAAATACAAAAATGGTGTGCATTTTTTGATTTGGATGAATACATTTGCCACAGTTTTTGACTGTGCCATGACTGTTCTGTACAAGACATACATACTAGGTTTGAATGACCTAGAAGACACTAGACTGAATGACCTAGTGGACCTCCTTGGAGCCATCTGGCAAACATGACTTACCCTTCCCAGTGCCTCACGCATAAGTGCTCTTAGGAAGCTTAATCTTAAACAAACTGGTTTGGATCACACAGACTGCCACAGGGTTACACCTGCCTCTGGGGTCATGGAGTTTTTCACTTTTGCACTTTGATGACAAAGATGTGCTTCTTTACTGTGAATTAAAATAATTAGATGGATAAGCATTTCTCTTCATTCAGTACAATGGAGCAGTACTGAGCTCTTAATAAATGACAGTGGGTGCTTCTTTAGATCAGCTGTCTGCTGCACAGTGTCAAAGGCAGGATTTGCTGTGTCTGGGGCTGAGCTGCACTTGTACGAAGGTCACTTGTGTCTGCCAGTGCAGGGGCCAAAGTCTTCCAGAAGAGGGCCTTGGAACAGGCTGCCAGACAGGCAGGTCTGAGGCTCGAGCCTGGGCTAAGGCGGCTCTAGTTACCCAGACAGATTTGTTAACTGTGTTTGGGTCCGCTCGGCTTTCTCACCGGGCTTCTGAGCCAAACACGCAGAGGTGACTTAATCTGTCATTAAACTCACATTACAGCAGACAGACACTGGGCTCCCTCTCCACTCGCTGGCATGGCTGGCTGCATCTGAACAGACACAAAGAGCACACCCACCCCTCCCCCTATCTCCATCCTCCTCCTGCCACACACCATGGCGCAGCTAGACAGTCCTACAGTCTAGACACAAGCCATTTCATTACAAGTTGAAAGATGATTTGATTGTGAGGCTGTGACAGTTTGTCCTTTTGATTGGCAAACACCTGAGAGAACTCGCACTTTTCTTGCATTAATTTAGTCATCAGACTTATTTTGCCCTGCTGCTGATATTTGATTGAAGTCCTCTAAACTTTGGGTCTTAAGCAGAACACTCTCTTCAATTTAAATAATTCAGTAGTAACAATAATAATTACAAAAGCACAATAGTCCATCAGCTACATTTATGTTTACAAAACAGCTTGTTCTAGTTCTGGCAACAACACCTCTCCTGCTGTTTGGTCTGTTTTTTAGGAGACAGGTATAGAGCAGGCTCTGAAACTGAGCAAACACAATATGTCACTATTTGTGTAATCTGACCTTCAAATGATTTTTTTTTACATGAATTATTGTTTTTGTGACATTGATGATAAATCAGATCATTTTATGTTTGTTTGCAGATAAAAAAGTACTTCGAGCTGGAGCCACTGGCCAGAGGAAAACGCTGGATACTTGACGGCAGCTCGACTGACAACATGGAGGGAGTGAAAGAGAGTTTTGGCAATTTCATTGGCTTATTGGAGGACAAAGACACAGAACCTGTCAGGATATGATGCTGTTAATGCTGACTGACATTAACAGCTAAGTGAAAGTACAACTGCTCCACTCGTACCGTCCGATCAGCAGGCCCTGGCCTCCTTTTTTTTAACATGTTCACAGTTCACTTTAGTGTTGTACGTTTTCAGTTGAAGAGCACACAAATCAAGATATTTCCTGTGAGAAATGTTTTCCACAAGTCAAAATATGTTTACTGCTACAAAGGTAACACTAACCCTCTCATGGTGGAGCCCAGGTCATACAATTCACTAGTTTTGAGTGATTTACTTGATGGATGTGGGTGTATTGTAAGATGTTGCGGAGTCAGAGCCTTGTGTTATGTACAGTAGTTACATATTGGTGTGTGTTACACCATGTATGAATATTTAATCTGAATAGTTTTGTGAGTCCAAGTAGTAATGTGCCCATGCAAACATAGTACTGCTATGTACCTTCCACAAGTACAACTAATCATAACAAGTGCTGTGTGAACCTATGGACACAGTTGGAAGAACGGGCAACCAAATTCAGAATGCTTTTAGAAATGTGCAAAATATATTTTCCAGTTTTCCTGTAGAGCTGTGCTAATATTACAATGATTTTCTATATAAACGATTAAAGACCAAAAAGTGATGGACTGGAAATAGGCCACTGGTAACATATAGTATAGGCTTAAACATTTCATTTTTTTTTTTTTTTTACAATGTTGTTTTTTTATTCTTTTTAAGTTTGACATAATCATTATGATAAGTGACTTAAATAGAAGACACATTCTATCAATCAGACAGAGCAACAGCTGTGTCTGACAAGTCCCTGTCCGACAACCTAATGCCTTCCAACTGTGTGAAGAGCCCTCCCTCCCTGTGTGTGAAGAGCCCTCCCTCCCTGTGGTTTGTGTAGCAGGCCCGGTCCTCTGCACACTGCCCTCCTGACTGTGCCTGCAACTGTGCCTCTGTACCACAAACTCTCATCATTTCTTCAGTATTTTCTTTAATGTACTCAATCACTTGTTCTTTTTTTAAATGGGACATCCCATTTCATTTTGGAGGAATACATTACTAAACATCTGCTTTCTTGTATGTATAAAATATACACTGCAGTTTTTTATGTTTGTATGTTTGCTTTTTCAAAACTGTTTATGTATGTTAGAAATTAAAGATAAAAAATTAATTATTGCTATTATCAATTTTTTAACTGAACATAGTTAAAAGGTTGTTGTTAGACCTTTATAAACCAATGCATTACTGACTCAAATAATGCAACTGAATCACAACTATTAAACTATTTTGTAATTTTCTGATCTATGTTATTTTTCCTTATCAAAAACATACCTAGAATTATTTTTTTTATTTTATTCACATGTTTTACACACAAACCCTGCATATTTAGGCTGTGTTCTTCTCTCAAACAGAAAACACTGTCCTTGATTTTCCAATCTCTACTAAACTAAAGGTAAAAGGTAGCTGTTATCATGAAGCAGCAGATTTCAGGTTATTGCAAGGTAGAATAGACCATTTTGCTCTTGTGAGATGTAGATAGATTAATAATAAAGGATTTCTCAAACGTGAATGAAACAGAACACAACTCCAGGTATGTTTTTGATGAGGTAACAATAATGGCTTAAAACTCACTATATATTAACTACATGAAATGGATAACTGAGTGTGCTTTTTATGGAGCACCATTAAAAAAAAAAACACATACAAAGAACTTCACAATATATTAAAGCATGCAAGTTAATGCCATCTAGATGCCTCTATAACATGTGTCCTTTTTGACTTGATTTATTTGTTTGTACAGCACACACACCTTACTTACAATCTGGAAGCATTTTGTTGTCTTTGATTTGTGATTTAAGGTGACCGGTGGAAATCTGAGCCTGGAGCATAATCGGCCTAACGCAGATGGAGGTCAAGGCAAAGGGAAAGGGGAAAAATAAAAGTGGAGAGCTTGTACAAAGTTGTGTGTGTAGGGTTAAGTGCGTGCGACAGCGGTCCCTGATACAGATATGCTACCTCCTCTTCTCTCTCTTCAATCCTTCCCTATTCTCTCTATCAAATGTTTGGCTTTAATTCTGTCATGCAGGTTGCCGTAGTGACTCTTTGATCCTGTTTTGCACTCTTTCCCTGTGGGCATATGTCTCTGTTCAGTCTGCTGCTGCTCCGGCCGAACATGGGCTGGTGCCTGTGGGTCCTCTCTGTCCTTCTCGTTCCCTCTCACTCTCTCTGGCTCTCTCCTCTTTTTGTGCATGCTCTCATTGGGGTTTTCTCCTAAGTGCTCTGTTTCCTTTCAGTTACGGCTACGGGCATCAGGTTGACCAGAGGACCCCAAACAAGCCCCACCTCCCTGTCTGTCTGCAGTCTCTGGCCTTGCCACTGCTCTTCAGTGTCTGATTTGTGTTTTATATATGCACTAGATGATATGCTGACTAATGCTTCATTTCACGTTGTTACATATTTTTCTGGAAGACATCCCCATTGTCATTCTTTATTATGAGAATATTTGGAAAGATTTGTCACATCAGTTGATAAACTGATTTTCCAACTGCAATAACTTATTGTCTGATGTTGTAAATGTTATTGTTTAACATTTCCATCTGACATATTTAGTGTTTAATTCTACTTTATTTAGAAAAAGTGATTAATCTTGTATGTGGACACAACAACTGTTAACTTCCAAATGCTTGTAGACAATGTGTCTGCATTCATCAAGTCCTCTGTTTTAGGAAGAATCCGCTGATCAATCAAAGACTGTGACAGGAAGAAGAATGTGAACTCTGAGGACACCTGGCTCTGACATCTCCCACGTTCATACAGCCTGAGGAAAGGCATCACTGTCCAAACGGTGACCAACTGCTGGGCTCAACTGTCAATGTCTGAATGAACAGTTCACATTGCGAAGTATTACTATAAGTGTTGTTAATGGCAGTTGAAGACATGGTTTATAGCAGTCCCATGTGTATCTTAGTATGATGATGACACATGGGCAGGTCAGCCCTGAGAGTCTATGACACAAGCTGTCAGGGAGCCCACTGTTCGTCTGCAAGACAAACAAAAGCAGGCATGTTTTCTTAAACTCTTCCTCCGGCTCAGCACTTGTGGCGGGATTTTTGCTGATAAGAAACAGCCACGAACGGGAACAGATGTGTGCCCTGACTTCCATGTGGGCCCTGTACCCCTGCTCAGCTACCACACGACACCCTGTGCTCATGGAATCATGATGGGTGACCAGCACTTTACATCCACAGCACTCGGTACTTAATTCAAGGCACTGTCAGCAACAAAATATATAAATATATAATATATATAATAAATAGAAGTCGAGAGAAGGATGCATCATTTCATATGTGTAAAATAACATACGTTTTCTTATTGTCTTACCATAACTCAATACTGGAGGCAGCTCTTCGTAGGTTTTCATGTTGTGGTGCCTGTTAATAATGAAGTTAAGAATTGTAGTGATGTGAGTCACCTAATGAATCTCTCACTAACCTAACTTTTACACTCTTCCAGCAGCCATTCATGGAGATTTTTTGGGCCATTGAAACCATTATCCCCAACAAATGCCATACATTCTATTCTGTTTTACACTCAGTTCTCTGTGAGTGAGATCATACTGAAAAGCACTTATGCTTTATCACTTTTAGTAAGGTTTGTTAGTGGTCATTATTCTATCATTGACACTTTAACATGACATAAAATTGTTATGTCTTGTAGGTTGAGTACAGTGAGACATAGCACATGTACATTTGAACTCGGTCTGTGTGGTCAGCGTGCAGGGCCTTTTGTTTGTGCTACGTGTGTGAGTGGCGTGTGACTGGGGACTTCCGTGGGACTGCAGCAGGCTTGTCACTCATGTGTTTGTCCTGGGATCAGATCTGTTTCTCTTCCTCTGTGCATGTCCCGAGTGCTGATGGAGACCCACATCCCAGGTGGCCCCCACATCAAAACATCACTCACTTTCTTTGTTGTGGAAGGGACAGGGGGCATGGCGCTCTATCTCCGGAGGATCTCCCCCACTATCGCCTGTCCCACAGGAGCCGCTAAAAGCAAACGTCAGTCAAGAAGAAGCTGCTGCATTCCTTCCAGAGGTCAATTAGTGGTGGCCACTAAAGAATCGTCTGGATGTTTAGGTCAAAATACTTCACAGTGGTCTCATGCTTTTGTTTGGCCCAGTCTTCACACAGAGCGTCCTCATATGAAAGTATCCTCCATGTGTGCAGGTGAGCTCTGCAGTCTGCCCCATGTTCACAGCTTTATGAGGATGACCTTAACATGCCCGTCTCATTGGTCTAGACTGAGCCCTGTGTTTACTAGGGCCTGTGCCTCTGATGGCAATCGTTCTGGCTCTTTTTAACTGTGACTTGCTCTTGTCATAATTCTTTAAAGAATTCTGTGCATCAGAGGTTTAAGCGTGCCTTGTGTGGACTGTAGAATTTACTGTCACGTCTCTGAACAAGTCGAAAACAAAAAGTGGGGAGATCACAGCTTGTGGGAAAAGAGTTCACAGACTGAGAGCATGATAATAAAACAGGCCAGACACCTCTGGTTTTAGAAGCAAGTTATCGTCTTAAAGAGCTTGGACTAGCCGTTACAAATCTTTTCAAATGTGCCTATGTCTAAAGTCATCTTTAAATAGTAGCTGCTGCATCATGGTAACGGAATGAGGAGGTTTAGGTCACTGACTTGAAATATTGACTGTGTTAACAGCTCAAGTGTGACTCTAGACAAATCACAAACTTTAATTTCTCAAAATGTTTTGAGTGAAAGCAAAAAGGAGAAAATCTAAGTGTTTCACAGAAACAATATTTGAACTGAGCAGCACAAAGAGTGGCAGCACCTGTGTTTTACCACAGCTTTGGCTCAGCATGTTGATCATTACCAGGGCCATATTTGGTCAAGTGCAAATGTAATTTTGCCCTTAGAGCTATGACGAAACCGAGCTTGACTCACGCAGGAAACCGCAAAATCAGTCTCAAGTAAACAAATAATACAAGAGGCGCTAGAGTAACAGTGTGGTGCTGGGATGAATCAGCCCGACTGGAGTAGCAAGCTGCAGACACCACAACATGACAGCCACTGGCTGCAATGAAGAGGCTTCATGTGGGACACAAATAGATTGTAGGTACTGTGGATTAGGGTTAAAAGTCACAGGGTCAAGCCGGGCAGCAGTTGGATGGGCTTAGAGAGGTGAGCTGCAAGAGAACTCTCCTGTTTTAACAAGAGCCATATTCTCATGTATGTGGATTTCAATCCAATCAAGTCCAAGTATAGATGTACAAATGTAAATCAAAACTCAGAGTATACACATTACCAGTCGAAAGTTTAGGTACACCTTCTCACCCTTCATATTTCTATTCCTCCTTTTTTTTGTTGTTGTTGGGTTTTTTTGTTTTTGTTTACTACTTTCTATATTGTAGATACATACTGAAAACAGAAAAACTATAAATTTAAATGTTTTTTCCAAACTTTTGACTGGTACTGTATATGCCCCTTAGCAGTAAGGTGGCAGCTTACCACATATTGACATGTCAAGAGTCCAATCTCTTGATAATTGGTTCCAGTAGATGTGTGTTTTGGTATTGTATGACACAGTCCGGTGTGTTTAGGACTGCTTTGAGGACAGAGTCTAAACATCCTCTGATAGGATTAACCAACAGGAGAAATTTCAAGAAAATCTGTGCAGAGTGTCAGAGCTGCCCCACACTGACTCACCACTTGCAAGAGTCTCAGTTTGCTAAACAGCTATTAATAATGTTTGATGCAAGAACACCCATTTCTCACACAAACACAACTGGTAAACTAAATATGTTGCATACCTAAAATGTATTGCTTACAGGATATTAGAAACAGATGGAAGTTACATAACAAAATCATTACACCCCGTTTTTCAAATACTCAGGAGTCTATAGTGTTCTCTCAAAATGAAGCTCATGTTGAAATGGACCAAAGGAGTTTTGGAAGCTCCTGAAATGAACTAGTGAAGCCAGAAGATCTTTGGGGGAAGATCAACAAAAGAGAGCACAGAGCACCAAATCAATGCTTAACCTCCCTGTTGAAACTAATCATTACTTATACTACTAAATATGCTGATAGTTACCAAATATGTATTCAATATTTGATATGACTGGAAATGAGAAGTGGTACGTCTAATATTTTAACAATTCTTAGCATGACAAACCAACCATGTTTAGGTGTTGAAAGCCTGATATTCAAGGATTCTTCTCAGTCCTAATCTCCAGTTGCCCATGTGGACAGCCCCCCACCCTGTTTGTGCCCCCTCCCCAAACTCTTCAGAATCAGTCTGGTTCACATACACAAGATTAAGTAGCAAAAGTGACATCCAAGACCAATCGGGCCACCCAAGAGAACTGCAACCAGCGGAAAGGCTGTCAGAGCCCCCTTTTGCAACATTAATCTTCAAGCCTCTGCTGCACTGCCAACTCACATCTCCTTCAAACAGGACAGGGAGGGACAAGTGAACTTTTCCCTCCCCGAGCCTTCTCCCCTCCATCAATTCACTCTTTGGGGGACAATTCATCGTCACCTGTCATTTTTTCAGACAACTTCAAACACGGCCAAAATGAATTACTTTTCCAGACATTTTTAAAACTTAATCTAAATAAACAAAGAGCTGATTAGTTTGGACTGATGTGTACAGGATAAGCTGCTTGTGACCAAGAGATAAAAATGATGCTCTTGAAGGATGCATTCATAGATGTTCTGGTTAGGCTCAGTTTAAGTGCTAATGTAGATTTGATTTGGTCCCATTCTTGCCCTTGTTTAGTACTGGTTTAGTCACAGTTTTAGACCCAGTTTAATCCTAAATTTGATGTGGTAACTGTGCTAATTTGAATGCACTCTGAGTGATTTATAGAAGAAACTAGATTTGTCAATAGGGACACATTCCTCATGCCTGTTTCACCTATTAATGAGATGTTAACGTTGGGCAGAGGAATTCATCTTAAAGCTCTGAGCTGTTGAAACAGACATCTCAGCAAGCTGCTTTAAGCACCTCAACTCACCCTTTGTCTCCTGCATGGCGCTATGGCAACTTTGATCTCATTCAGGACACTCAGGGGATAACTGTGTGGGTGTGCATGCAGTGGGGGTTCTCCTGACCCCTTCAGAGGAGGTAGTGTCACGTCCAACCTGATAGTGCTGTGAATGGGGAAACAGAAAAGATGAATACAGCAATTGATAAATAGCGGAACATGAGTGTGTTGTTGTGGATGCCTTCAGTCCCAGGAGAGGGCCTTCCTAACCCCCAGCCTTTCTTCTGCTGGAGACCCCAGACGCAAAGGGAACGTCGCGCCAGCTAACGGTGACTCTTTGAAGTGAGCAACACCAAATCACACAGCATGCTTTGGATACTCCTGCCATTCTCTAGGACGGGGCACAAAGCTACAGATCTCAACTGTCACATCCAATCTTCCCAATCTCCCAGTAACACAAACACACAGACTGAGAGGTTGTTCTACAGTCAGTCTCTACTCTGTGATGGATCAAAAATGGGTCAAATTCTCTGGATAAATTCTCTGGATGAATTCTCTGGATAAATTAAGTCCATGTTTCTGGTGGTGGGGAGGGTGCACACCTGTAGGGTGCACACTTAGTGCAGTGGGGTAAATGGGGTTGCGTGTCTCTATCCCAGTTGGAGAACTACATAAGTGCTGCTGATGATTAAGAAGCTGGGGGCAACAACGCAATTGCGTGAGTGAAGGTGTGTTTGTGTTATTTAGAGAAGCTTCATTAACAAATAAAGCCTTGGCACTGGTTCAGGCTCAGGCTTTCACGTGGGCGTGTGCCAGCTGTGGAGTCAGAGCAGAAAGTCTCGGCCAATGAGGAACACAGGCGTTGCACTGTCACAGTTCACATGTCCACATGTGGAGGCTGGGCACAGGTGAAAAACACTTTAATGACAGCTAAGTGGTTCTGGTTTCATTATTCATCTGTCAGAGGCTGGTGCTGAATAATACAAGACAGAGGTTAATTTGGTTAATAAAACATATCATCGTGACTATGTAAATCTGCTAACCTTATTGCAGGTCACTGTGACCTTTGACCCCCACTGTACTGCATTATAAAATCTAGAAACTGAATATTGTCAAACGATTGACATGTTGTGTTATTTATGTCAATGGCACACAATGTTCATCTTAGTTAAAACCCATTGTTTCATTTAGGTTGAAACACTGCCTCCATCCATGACTGTATACCACCTCAAACACCACATACCACACACAGATCTGATGAAGCATGTGGCTACCACATTTTCTGTCGTCACTGTCAGTGGTGAATACATGACTGAATGAAGTGTCACAGCCTCTCGTCACTGTGCGATGACCCACTGCAAAGGATTTATTGAAACTTCCAGCTGCTTTAGGCAATTATTACTTAGCCCATAAAACAATAAAAGATAATGACACTGTTAGTGACTGAAAACCCCGTCAAATCTGTTACATAATAAGGAGCAGGTGCTGAGATGCTGTGTGATGCATGTTGGAGGTGTTCTGAACATAAAATGTCATCTGTCCTACAAGGAAATATTAGCTCTAAAGTGATGTGTTTGGCCAGGAGCCTACAATAACGGCAATTTAACGTCTCAACATTCAAACGTTTGACATAAAAAATAGCCTTCAATTTGACAGAATACAGTCAAGGCCTATTCCTTATTTTAGCTGGTTCAGGCCTACTGGCCTACATTTTCTCTTTGAATAGGTCTACCTCCTTAAATAAGCCGAGCCAAACAGACAGACTATTCGTGTAGGCCTATGTTTTTTTCTCAGCAGTTTCTTCACGAGAAAAATGTTCCCGGCAAGTACAGTTGATTATTCACAAAAGGCCTATTTGTAATCTTGCCAGAAGTGTGCTCTTGAATAGTGAGTTCGCGTCTGCGAGACGCGGAGTTGGCGCGTGCTTTGTGGCAGCAGGACCGCTGAACACGGATTGGTCCGTGATGTGCCACTACGCAGTTGCTCTAAGTTCACACACTTGTGGTCTTATGGGCCAGGGCTGGTGGAATGCTTTCAACTTTTCAAACTAGTGCCAAAAGTATTTTTCCTCTTTGCTTTTCTCCGAGGCCATTTCAAAGGGGAACGCACATGCTGTCATTCATGTCCGGACCATTACGCTCATATCAGATCGGTGCGTTTGATGTGCCGAGTGACAGAGCAAAGTAAATAGCATGCGCAAGCCTGTGAAGGATTTGCGATGCTTTGCGTTAATTGACCTATAGCAATTAGGCAGCCATAATTGGTGTGTGAATGTCGGTGCAGTCACGCAGTTTATTACTCCACTATTTACCGAACACAAAGAGTGTAAACAAGAATTGGCAACGGCACTTGTTGATCACTAGTTGCAAAATGCAGTATTCATTTTGATGATGACCAAGTTATTATTAAGAAACATTGTGTAGTAGTAAGATTAAAAATAAATAAATAGATACTGAGATTTGAGCAGCAATTGACGGCTAATCAGCCTGTTTCAGTTTTAATTCACCGTCTAGGACGTCACTACATTCAGTCTTAGTCGAGAAAAAAATAGACCATAGACATTAAGGACGCCATAAATGTATAGTGTTTTAAGTGAAAGTAAAACATATTTTTGATTGGAACCCTTCACCTCTGTGACTTTACTTTTTGGGAAAAAACTTGGCAACTCAAAAGGTACTTTCCATGAGCGGCCAAGCTATTCACTGTATTGTAATAAACGTTATTAGTTGTGGCGCTAATATTATTAGGAACATGCGGTAATCACTGTGCAGATGTTGCTGTAAAACTTTGAAAGAAATAGTTCCAAGTTTTTCAAATTCCAGCATACAGCATTTCATCCACTCAGATGCCAGGATGTAAACGAAAACTAACACAGGAAAAGTGTCACCATTTCTTCCCCTCACAAATGTCTTAATTGTAATAATACAAGCAATCCTTGTATGTTTTTTCTGTTGCAAAACCATTTCCCTAATGGAGTGAAGAGCGTTAGGTAGTCAGTAATAATGAGGTGACTGTTTGAAGAAGAGAGACGTGATAATGAGTCCATGGTTTACATCTAGAGAAGAATGCCTTTATTGACGGTTTGTACAGGTTTGTGGTGGGACAAACAGAGCAAAGCAACAGATGGCCGTCTTCACTCTATTTGGCGGACCTCCGTGTTCTCTTGTCCCACGAGAAGTTTGCCCCATAGGATTTCACTCGAGGCTTGGAGCTCCTCTTCTCTGTTATTTCATAGCTCCAACCTGGAAAAGCAAAACAACATCAGAGTAAGTGATGGGGGAAGAGGACGTCATGTATATTCATTTTGGCTGTGGGCCAACCACAATGAAGTGTAGACATCAACAGGCTGTGTGGAGTCAGATCTGCGCTAATCGCTTTGGTGGTGCAATAAACAGAGAACACCGCTTTCCTTCGCTCACTTTCAACAAACTTTCCCAGATGGTCCAGGCTTAAGCCTCAGTGAACTTGGTATGTGGAAATACATTAAATTTGTGCTTGGGATAGGTTTAAGATAGTGTGGAGACCTGTTAGGAGCACAGCTCGATTACAGAACATGTCATTATCACAATGAATTTTAAATCATAATTGAATCAATGACTCAAAATGAGTCGCTTATATGAATTAATTGCACAGCCCTACCTCTTTTTATTTCATTAACATTACATCTGCTTACTGACTTTGTTGTGAGGATTAGGTTTTCTTAAAAGAAAATGTGCTGGTTTTGTGAGTGGACACATGCATGATAAACGCAAATCTACACAGATTTTATTGATTTTTCTTTCACATAGTAAAACTAAAAAAAGTTCTACAATTTTGTATTGTTTAACAATGTGGATTTTTAATACATTACCATTTTTCTCAGCAAATGCAATGGCATCTTCCTTGGAAGAGAAATTTAGCACCATGTTGGAGAGAGGGTCCGCTCTGCAAGGCACAACAGAACTTTTTCATGTGTCACTGACTAACACAACTAAAGTCCATTATTCAAACAACAGTAATATCATTATGAATTTATTTGAGAGAGTCTTACGTTGAGGACCAGCCCATGAGTGGATTCTCCCAGCGCTCTCTTGTGTCAAAGTCCATTTTCCATTTCTTGGTGTTGTTGATTCCTGACTGCATTGCACTCTTCGCTGGAACAAAGATGTGCACCTTGCGTGTTTTGATGTGCTCTTCTGGCACGCCTGTCAACGTTGTTATGTCCTGAAAATAATAACAAAACAGACGTTAGTCTCTCTGGTAACTAGTGATGTCATAATACATCATTCCCTACTCAAATCTGATACTAAGGAAAAAGCCCGGGACTCAACACCATAGTGATAAAACAACACTTTGTCTTATTGCTGCTGCTATAAGCAGCACTTTGATAAATGCTTCAAAATTGGATGAGCTTAGCTTAAAAGGCCTATACCAAACTTTTCAGTATAATGCCTTTAACTCCATACAGGACATTGTAAAAGCAACAATATGTAATAAAAAATTTGGCTGAATGAAATTGTATTTTGTCGTCAAGAGTGAGGGTCTAAGGGGGCCCAGAGTTCATTCTGAAACATGTTTTTCACTCATGATTCAAAATTGAGTGTTCAGTAGTGAACTCCTGTCACCAGTAAAAATTTTGATGTATACACAACTATGACAATAACATGGAATATATATATATATATATATATATATATATATATATATATATATATATATATATATATATATATATATATATTGTTATACATCAAAATTTTTCACACAAAAAGTAATTTTGCCATCTTATACTATTTCTGATAAAACTATACAGGAAAGGTCTAGATTTTACCTTTTTCAGTATCAAATATAGAATTTTTACTACCTTACTTTAGTATATTTTTGTTGAGTGAGACCTTTGCTAAACACCAAACTCAAACCAATTTATTTCAACATCTGAACTACAGGTAACATTGGGCTGCATGCTGAGATTTATATGACAACTTGAATGGCTTTAGAAGCAACACTCAAGTATGTGGGTTGTACAGAAGAGTGCCTACGTGTGATATTTAAACTTGTGTTATCTTTATTATTGTGGCATGCTTCAAGTGACTTAAAAGATTTAAACCTAATTTATTAGACTTAATGGCTCATGTCTTTTCCTTTCCCTCCAAAGAAAACAAGCATTACTGAAGAGAAAAGGTTATCCAAAGTTAGCCTGCAGGTGTTAGACACGTAAGTGCATAAGCTGAAAAAATGAGCAAATGTACAAAAATGTAGGGGCATAAAAAGTTCTTGAATAATCAGTTAGACTAAGTTTTATAATCTTTCATTCACATCAATCTTGGGATTTATTTTCACTATGACACTAAAGACCAGACTGGGCCAATCCTAAGTGTAAGAACAACAATAAAGAAGGTGAAAGGAAATCAATGGCATTTATATTTGCAGTAAATAATGTTAAATTTGGCTTGAGGTTTTAGTGTTTTTGAGCTTTGACGCCGCACAGTGTGCATGTGGGCATCTCGGAGTCCTGCCAACTCTGCAGATCAACTGGACATTAATCTGTTGGCTAGGATTTTTGTCTCGCCTTTGTCGGTTCTACAAATACATCTTTGTATTCAGGAGTTTATTTTGTTGTTCGTTTAATCATAGCACAAAAAACTGGAAGCCAACATCAATTATTTCTTTGTGGGGAGCTGTCATCAAATCATTTTCAGAGAGAGAATACATTTTATAAGGGAGTTTGCAAACCATTGCTTTTATTTTCAACTTTCAACATTTTTATTTTAGAAAAGTCCCATATTCCAGAATGGTTTTGGAGGAGCCCATTAAAATCAATGTTAACTTTTGAAGGAATGAGAAAACAAGTGATGAAATCTCAGCAGGCTTAAGCCATCTAGGACTGAGGCCTTTTGGGGCACTCGGCTTTCAATACAAGAATCTAACACATTTCAATGGCCTTTACAACTTCAAAGAATCAAATTTTCTTCATTGTCTGTCATCCACTGGTTGATTTGTAGAAAAGGGGTCATTTTGCGTGAACTCCACACAAAAGCTTACTTTTCCTTTGGAAATAGCCTGGCAATGGTATTTCAGTCTAGTCAATTACAGGTCCCACTTCTAAAACACACTACACTCAATTTAATAACAAATAAGATTTGCACATACAAAGGGTAGTTCAAATAAAAGGAAAAGAGGACAAAAACAGGACATAAAGAAGAGGGGAAAAACTTCCCAAGTGCTAGGTAATTATTTCCGGATGCCCTATCTACTTAACCTTAACAATTCCTTCTTGTCACAGAGAGAAGAAAAACATGTTCTTGTCAGCCCCAGGAAAAGAGAGTGGGCACCACATCACACAATAACACAACTACCATCTTTGCCTGCTGTAGCAGAGCTTCACATTCTGATGTTTTGGGCAGAACTTTATGACAGAAGTACATGTTAAGTACATGAGTGAGGCACTGAAGTTAAGTAATCCAGGATGAATTTCAAAAACAACAGTGGAGGTAAATCTAATTTGCAGTTAAGCTGTTTGGTGCTCTGCTTCTGAAAGTCCCTATCTGAGGTGCATTAGAAACGATGCCCCTGGGAATAGCAGGCCAGACGATGGTTACGCGTATGTACGTTACATAAAGCATAACTGACACATGAGGCCCATGGATGGTGAACTTGTGCAATAATTTGTCCAGATGTAGCAGACCTTAAATCACATTTTAGGCGTGGATGAGCACAAAAGGTTTGTCTTGAATGAGGGGAGGATGTGTCAAAACAAAAGCTCTGCCAGATCACTGAAAACACTCCGCTCATTATCTGCTATTGTTTGCAAAGTAGAGTCTAGACTTGGATGATACTTGCATGCATTACACTGAAAGCTAGGAGGGTTATCCGCATAACAGACTCAGCCACAATGGCCAGCTTTACAAAGAGGACGATTGTGGCTGGAATGTGCTGTGTTCCCAGGAAGACTAGAGCAGGCCATTACAAAAGGAAAACCCACACGGTGGGCACTTTTCTTCGGCTGCGTACAGGAAGCAAAATGAGAACGATCAAGTTTGACACTATTCACAGGGTCTTCACGGGGCCCTACAATACCTGGCCACGCAGACAGAAAGGCTGGCTTAAGAAAGGCCCAAAGCGCTGGCATAGTCTTCGTCACATGAAAGCGTGTCCATATTTGTGACACTTCCAGGCGATGAGCCAAATAAAGAGCAGAGGGGCTTGTCGCTGTGGGGCCGCTGGGCCTACCACAATGCACCAGCGGAGACCTGGGCTGGCACAGGCTGAGTAAACAAGAGCACATCCAACGATGATACTGTATCACACGAGAACAAAAGCTGATATGAAAACGTTTGACAAGCACAGCAGCCCACATTTAAACACTCCTTCCACAATAAAGGGTTAGGGGAATGAAGCGTACGCAACTTTAAGTTCATGCACACGGACATTAGTCTAAATAATATTTACAGGTTAAATGAGGTCCGTTGTATTCTCGGAAGTTTTATTTAAAGTAATTACTAGAGATGAATGCATTTAAAATTATTTTTAAATTGTACATAGACTACATCTTTGGACAGCACTGCATACCTCCACAAGAGTCTACCTCAGAGGGGCCTTTCGCTTTGACCTCAAATCACTTCACACACTGTCAGTGTGGATGATTTGTCTATGTTTCCTGCAGTTCATTTTCCTCAGTTTACATAGTGGAATATTAAACCAATTCTACCGGCACCGTGACATGAAATATGCTCTGTGCTTTTCTAATATTGTTTCCAGATCCGGTCACAATGCACAGACACTTTGTTTGGGTAACAGGAATAGTAGACACATTTAGCCAACATGTGGTGAGTGTGCTGTGGAGATCTATTAAAGAACATGACCATGCAGAGCAAGAGTCACAGTCATTGATGAAAAGCTGCTCTGACGCTTGGACCTGAATGAAGACGGAGCTCTGCAGAGGCGTGGACATGACTTTACACTAAACACATTACAGCTCATTCACTTGGAGAGTCAAATGGCCTCTGCACTTCAAGACATCACTCAATACTCCCTTTGTGATCATTTAGAGGAAGGGGATTATTTGAAACCTTAAACAAACCAGAGAAAGGGAACTTTGCGTCTGTGTCGGAAATCATCCAAGAGGGTTCAGTCACTGGATGTTAAAATTATCTGTCTTGTAAATCTTTTAACAGTCTAAGGAAGACAAAACATTTCTGATGCCTAAAATCTGAACAGCAAGAAAACACAAGGATGGTGTAAAACAACAGAACAGATGAAAGGTAGACATGTGTGATACAAAATCTACAATCCATCAAATAAAAGGTCATTTTTTTAGATCACAAATCACAAGAAACATCATATCTATAGTAACTAACTACAGGTATATAAGTATCTTTTTGCCTTTTGTGGTGTCAATAATTGTGTCAAAAGTAAAATTTGAAAAACATTTTTGCCATGGTGACACCCTAATTAAAATGTGATTATAGCTTTTACACAGTACAGTCTGCGTGGATGCCAAAAAACCTCAGGAAAGCTGCCAAAAGGAGGTCAAAGGGTCAAGCGGGCTGAATCATTTAGAGTCAGCATGTGGTGAAAACCCAAACACATCACCCCTTAACCCCTCTGCGCCCAGCCCCAACCCCAGACCTGGAGCGTCACTCGTCAGCCTGGGCCCGCTCCCACCTTTGCACAGCTTTGAAGTAGAAAAAGCCCCGGCAAGTACTGATTGCGTCTCTTACAGAAACAAATATTATCTGTGGTGTGTGGCAGAGTGGCTGAATACAGAGGAACACAGAGCAGCTGCTATGAGGGTCATCCACAAGCTCACATTTCACATGCTGCAGGGACAGGCTCGAGTCAAGACTGCGGTCACATTTGTCGATATTAGACATGCCATTCCACCCATCATCCTCATGGCTCAATTACATTCAACTAGTGCTTTGTCCTTGTATACCTGGAACCACACTGGAACACGCCCAACATACTATACTTGGAGCTTCAAAAGATGCCACAATACACTGGCTGTTTGTGACCTTTTTTGGTAATAAAGAATTATAAAAATATATATATATAATAATAACGATAAAATAAAATTATAAAAAATATAATCTGAAACAATTATACAAACAATTAAATTTTAGTAATTGTGATTTTGGACCAACTGCTATTAAATGTTTGAATTTACTAGGCGTGACAACAACAAATTAAAGACTGTGGATGATACATAATGAAAGCTCCTTCATTGACAAACACCCCTCCACTACAAATCTGAGCCTGGAGATTTCTTGTAGTAGAGCTGCACAAGAGGGCGAGCAGACAAAACACACACTTATGTTGTGTACGCGGGGGGGGGGTGCCCTGCTTCACTGTAGGTCAGCCTTGTCTGAGGCTAGACAGGCTTATGCACTGCAGTCCTCCAGACATTCACAGCCTGAGCTAAATATATCCCACCAGTTGGGATAGCCGTCTTTTATTGTCATTACAGTGAGATAACTTACAGGCGGTTTGCAGTAGTGCACACCTGAGTCGCTTAAATTCAGACAAATTCAATTCAACAATAATTGAGTTTTCAGTTGTCTGGACTCATGTCTGGTCAACAGGAATATACCCAACCTCAAGCCAACACTGCATTGTTGTCCTCAATGTATCTGTGCTAAGCAACTACTTTGTGCCTTTTTTCAGTTTGAAGCCCTTTTAATTTGCCGCTAATTTTAAGCTTTAAAAACAACCAACAACAGGCCTTTAAAAATCACCACCTCATTTACCAAAAATGTCACATATTTGGTCCAGATGTGCTGTTCCCTGCCAACAGATGTCAGACTTCAAATTCATTAGAAACAAAAACCTTTCGATGAACAAACAACCTGACTGCTCTAAGCTATCTGAGTAGAGTCAGTGTTGTAGTCTGAATGCTCAGGCAGCTCCTGACTCCACAGTTCACTGTCCACTGTCTCATAAATAAGTGCAGAGCCTTTGGAGAACTCTATAAGAGATGCTGTTGCTTTTATATGCAGTGACGACTGTTTTGGTTCACAACTCAATGAAATGATCCAATTCTCATGTGGAGGTTCAGGCTGCTGTCTCAGTTCTGTAGGTAAAGAGTTCAGCAGGACACAGCACACTGAAGCTGTGTTGGTGGAGCTCAGCATGCTTAATGTAACAGTAATTAACAACAAAAGAAGGTCATTCTGGCTTCACAGGCCTCACGCTCTCAGCTCATTCTTTGAGTTTACAAAGACAGACACTTTCACTTAGAAATACCAATACCAGTTACTACAATGCAAGAATAGCAGCACAAGTCTGTGGAATAGAAAAAAATAAATCATGTAGACAGTAGTGCTGTGTTATGAAGAATAAGGTTGACTGATAAACAGGAACCGTTCCACAACTACTCTCACTCAGAACAAACCGCTGTATAATTTGCTCAGGCCAAAATGCACAGGCCATGTTACCCCTTCAAAAGATCACAGCCCTGTTTGATTGGTCTGAGCAGAGCGGTTCACACTGAGTGTCTGATGAATGACTAGCGCGCTGACAATCGCTGAATGCCCTGGAGCCCTCACATCGACCTCGTCTGTGAACCGTCGCATACACAAGAAGAGGACGGGAGTAGATTCAACTGAAATAACTTATCTTTGCTTCCAGATTTCGTGTTTATTTTTTTATTGTTACAAGTACTTAGTGGCTTGTAAACTTAAACCATAATCCTGTACACAGGTTTGTAGTTTAATCTTGACATCCCCATGTTAAAGCATGGAGCTCTTGTGTGCTGTGGCACACTGTACTGTAAACAGCTGAGGGCCTCTTTTCTGCCTGTCTGGGCCAACATTAGAGCACTTCCCGCCGTCGCCAGCCACAGCATGACACAAAGGAACCTCTGTAGCCCACAATACTGAAGTGGCCACTGTCCGTTTGGTGAAGCTGGGGGAGGCTCCATTTTTCTATCACTCCTCCTCATTTCTAG